CCTAACATCAGGATGCTGTTTCACGGCCCCCCCCGAGGAGTCACTGAAGCCTCCACAACCAGCAGGATAAACCCCGGTAACACCGGGGTTTTTGTACTGAAAGCTGGGGCCACTTTGGTCATCAGAACAAGCTGAGATCTGCAGAGGCCCCAGGGCCTTTGCACAGACAGCTGCTGCTGCCAGAAAAGCTCTCCCTGTCTCCTTTTAACTCGCTTCCTCTGTCCCTTCCAGCGACCTCTCTGACCACGGTGCTGAGACAGTCTCCCTTGCTGTCTTTCAGGGCGTTTATTGCTACCCGATATACTCATGATATGTTCATATCACCTGTTCATATCACCATATCTCCCTCAATATGATGGGAGCCGCCTGTCCTAGGGCAGTGCTGCTTACCTGTGGGGTGATCCCGCCCCCCAGGCGACCCTGGGTGGTATATGGGGACACCTCAGGTTGTCACAACTGTGGGTGCTTGTGGCATGGAGTGGGTGGAGGCCAGGGACACTGCTCAGCACCTGCAGTGCCCACGACGGCCCCAGCCCAGAGGACAATGCAGCCCCAGTGTCCACAAGGCGCCCCCCCCGCCAGCAGCGCCAGCCTCGCCGGGGAGCTTGGCAGAAACAGTGTCTCGGGTCCACCCCAGAGCCACAGATGCTACTCAGCACCTGAGACACACAGGATGGCCCCAGACGTCCGCAGTGCCAGGAGCCCTGTGCTAGGGGCCACCTGGCCTGGCCTGAGTCTGGCTGGGCCGGAACTAGCTCGGTTGGAAGCCCAGCCAGTCCCTCGAGAGTCCCCGGCCAACCTGACACCTCCTTTCCTTGAGAAGGATGGAGCGGTGGCCGTTCTCACCGCAGTACCTGCGGCACCTCGGCCGAGCCTCTGAGGCCCCCGGGACGCAGGGGTCCTGAACCCCCCACCTGTCTAACCCGATTCCCACCCACGAGACTGGCACACCGTGGTCACTTCCGCCCTCAGCCAGAACACGGAGGCAGGCCGTGTCCCTGCCCTGAGGGGCTGCAGGTGCGGGGCCTGCAGAGGTCTGGTGGGTGGCAGGGACAGAGGTGGGGCATCTTCCCGCCCCAGCCCAATCTGGCCTCAGCACCCAAGAACAGGGAGAAGGATTCTAGGGTCTTCACAGACAAGCCCCCGGGCCCTGCAGCAGCCCCTGCTGGTGGGGGACAGGGAAGGACCCTCCTCTGCCCTGGGAGCCTTGGCCCCTCCCCACCTGCAGGGGGGCACTGGACAGGTCGGGACAGCCGGGGAGTTTTTACTGGTGACAGGCTGGTCACAGACTTGCCTGAAACTGGTGCAACTCAGGGCTCATGCTGGGTGCAGGACGGCGGCTGGGACAGGTGGGACACGGCCCCCTCTCTTCCTGGCTGGGCAGAGGGCCTGGAGCGGGTGGCCAGGACAGTGTGGCGGTGCTGTGACCCGGGACACACCGTCCCATCTGCTGATGCTGGTTTTTCTGGGTCCCCAAAAGATGTGGAGGGGCCAGGGGACCGGCGCTCCCTGTCCCCGCCCCACACTAATAACTTCTGCAACAGAAACGCAAACACGAGACAAGGGAAGCCCGACACGCTGTTATTACGGCTGATTCAACCCGGAGGCCGGTGCCGCCTTGCCATTTTCTGCTCTTTTGTCTCCAGATCGGGGGCGGGGGGACCACTCCATCCAGCTGCCTCTGTGCTGAGAACGCCCACGGGGGGCTCCCAAGGGAAGCTGCCCCCGCCAACCCAGGAAGGGAACCTGAGCCCAAGTCCTGAATTAACTCCGCAGCCCCAGGGCGCTGAAGGGGGCTCCTCTCCATCCCGCCCCGAGATTGTACCCGCCTGGGCGCTGGGCGAGGCCCCAGGTCTGTGGTGGGACCTGGGCAGCGCCTGGGCCTGACTTTGATCCTTGCCTGTGACATGCCCAGGCCGGAACAAGAGCAGCCCTGGCCAAGCTAAGCAGTGTCGGGGGTGGCTGAGATCCAGCCAGGGGCAACACATTCAGATAAACGGAGCTTGGAGTTCTGCTCTTCTTCTTTTAAACAGAAACCTGTTTGTGCTATTAGGGAGTGAGCTGTCCAAGCTCTGGTGGCTGCTCCTGGTCCTTGCCTGCAGGTCAAACAGCGGGCGCCTCCTGTGCCCTCCCATCGGTCCGTCTCTGTCTCTGTCACGATCTGGCCCTTGTGCACAATCCATCGTCACTTGCGCTGGGTCTTCCTATGAGCTGGGGCTGGTCTCTGCCCCTGGGCACTGTGGACATTTGGGGGCCGGAGCGTTCTCTGGGGTGGGGCCGTCCTGGGCGCTGCAGAGTGCTGAGCAGCGTCCCTGCCTCCACCCACCATGCCAGGAGCTGCCTGTTACGACCACCACAGATGTCCCCAGACACAGCCCAGTGTCCCCTGTGGGGCAAAGTCCTGAATCCCCCCGACTGAGTAAGAATCACAGTCAGTGAGAGACACCCCTGAGAAGGAGGCCTCTGGGCTTCTGCAGGCCATGGGACACTTCCAAAGTGCCACAGAGATGGATGAGGCCTTCCATGGCGGGTGCGGGCCCGCCTGGCAGTGCTTGTAACGTCCAGTTGCCAGGCAGGGGCTGGTCTGTGGCTGCAGGCAGTGACAAATCCACAGCCTTCCTCAATCGGAAGCTCCTGTTACCGGGTGACAGTGCGCTGTGGTCACAGCCACCGGGCAGCCTCAGAGAGGCTGGGCCTCAGGAGCAGCCCTGTTTCTCCACCTGTCGGGTGGGCGAGCTGACTGCCCTACTACTCACCCCAACATGGAGCAGCTCTGATTTCCTCATTAAGAGTGGGGAAAGCGGACCAAAACCAGCCTGAGACACCCTGTGGCCTCTGCAGCTGGCCGAGCCCGCCCTGTCCCCTGCAGCTCCCAGGGGGCAAGAGCTCGGGGCTGCCCTGCTCCTCTGAGCACAGCAGCCGGGAGGCAGGACACAGGGGTGGGGGTCTGGCAGGCTGTGACCCTGCTATACCAGCCCAGCCTTCCCCCAGACCTCTCGGGGGTCCCAGAGTCCTTCGCAGGGCCTGGAAGTGGTTTTGCTGGGGCCGGCGGGACCCTAAGGAGAGAAAGGCAGCCGACCGGGCCACAGCCCTGCAGACTGGAGAAGTAGCAGGCGGCAGGCACATGGGGGGCCAGGGAGGCCGAGACTGCTGGGCTGAGGCCCCCAAGGTGGCTCTGCCCAGGTCCCATGGTTTCTAACTGTGGCCCTGAGGGTGTGCAGGAGACCGGTGGGGTGGGCGCTTGGAGCCTTTCCACACCGTGGGGCCCCTTGGTGGCTTGGTGGTGCCCTTGGGGGAACGACGTGGTCTCGGAGGCTCCTCTGAGGAGAAGGGGAGGAGGCAGCTTGGGGCCCTCAGGCTGGGGTCGGCAGGCTCACTGGTGTCCCCGGGATACCCTGAAAAGCTGACGGCTGGTGGGAGGGGAAGACCGCATCTCCTGCTTTCGGCAGAGGTGGGGACCCCGAGCAAATGGCGCTCTGCCCCGACGTGGGGCTCCGTGGGATTTGCGTGCAGACTGCAGACTGCCCCTGGAAGGGGTCCAGGCTTCACCAACCCAGGGCAAAGGCCAGTGGTGGAACCTTCTGGTTCTTGGGCATGGTTTCCAGGTGAAATGGCAGGCGGAGGTAGAAAAACACCGTTTCAGACACGGCGACGCTCCTACCCCAACGGGGCCACTGTCCTGGCATGGGGACGGGGTCAGGCTACCCAGAGGTCAGAGACGGTTCCCAGGAAAAGATTCAGACAGAAGCTCCTAGGAATGGGCCCAATACTCCCGACGGCAACAGCAGGGACCCCGCTGAGTGGAAGTTGGGGGGTCTCGGACCACATCCCAGGCCCCCAGGAGTTGGGGGTGAACTCTGGTTTATTTCCTGAGACTTGCTAACAACTCCTAAGGGGGCCAGGGCTGTCTCGAAGGTCATTTCTTCCTGGGCCTGTGCCCCGAGGGGCTGAGCCAGCCACAGCAGACAAGTCATTGGCGGGGCCTGGAACCCCCCCTTTGGCCGCAGTGGCAGGGAAGGCCCTACCGAGCCCAGGGCCACGGGCCGATGGGGGCCCCTTCTTGTCAGGGGACTAACTGGTCCCCGCAGCTTGGTCTTCCGAGCACAGGACGGGAATCCGGATGCTGGGCCCTGATGCCAGCCAAGCAGATGAGGGAAGACAGGGGGGCAGCCAGTCGCAAGGAGGCCCCAACAGAGCTGGGAGAGACGGAGGCCCAGGCTGCCAGCCCGGCTCCCTCGTGCCACGCCATGGGCGCTTCAAGCAGGCAGAGCTAAGTCCCTGGAGGAAAGCGTCTCACCAACGCCCATGTCCCAAGACAGGCCGCCCGGGTTACCAGGACAACGGGCCAGGCGAGGAGAGGTTGCCGCGGAACCAGAGCCCTGGGCTGGCCCTGCCCACGTTCGGCGGTTTATCTCTGGGTGGTGACTGGTTTCGCCATGTGGCATGTCTAGTGGGGGGATCGCACCACGGGGCCTGCCCCACGGCCAGTGGGGTCCGTCTTCCTCTGGAGACCCCGGGCATGTCTGGAGCTGAGCACCAATGGCCAAGCGACGCTCACCCGGCCTGGTGGTCCCAGTTCCTCCCTGCTCCAAGGGGCCCCACAGGGAGAGGGGGCGGGGCAGCGCTGAGGGCTCGGGGTGCATCGCGCTCTGTGGCAGGAGGGGCAGGGCCCGGGCCGTCTAGCTGTGGAATGGGCGTTCCACGCTGAGGGGTTCCTTTCAGAAACCACCCGAGGTGCCCCATCGCAGCGACTGGAACCTCTGATAAACCTTGGGACACTCTCGGGCCCTGGGGGAGGCTGGCGGTGGGGTCAGGTCTCAGCAATAGGGCAGGACAGACGACGGAGGCCTTGGAGCCTCCCAACTGGCTCCTGCGCTGCAGACGGCGCTGCCGCCGTCCCATCCTCCGGCTGCAGGTGCGCACCACCCATCCCCACCCCACTCCACCTCCGGCGAGTGACGAGACCCCTTGCCTGAGGTTGACAGGCCATGCAGCTTCGCTGAATACTTTTAAGAGAAGTATTTCCAAAAGGGCAGGGCCCTGAGGCTTGGGGCGCAGGGTCTGGGGCGCAGCAGTCCGGAGGCCCCTGGTGCCCGGGCAGAGTGGGGCTGCGGCGTTCCCTCTCGCAGGACGCGGCCTGTGTGTGGCCAGGGCTCCGGGCTCTGGCAGCGAGGACGGGCGAGGACACTCACCACTTGAGGAAGACCATGCCGGCCAGGACGGCGTAGCCCAGCACCAGGAAGAGGACCTTGAGCAGGCGCTCACCCTTCTCCTCCAGCTCCTTGGCCAGGATCTCGAGGAAGGCGACGAAGAGGAAGGTGCCGCCTGCCAGGCCCTGCAGCAGCGCGGAGGCCACGCTGCCAGACACACCCTGGCTGCTCTCGATGCCCAGGCCCACACTCACGCCCAGCGGGATGGTGACGCTCACAGCCACCGCGAGCTTGGCTGCGTCCCTCAGGGGCATGGCGTTCCTGGCCATGCTGACGCCCAGGGCCACAGCCACTAGCGTCTCGTGGACGGCCACCCCCACGAACAGGCTCACGACCTTCTCGCCCTCCTCCTGCAGCCCCAGGGCCAGGCCCTCGAAGACCGAATGGGCCGACAGGGCGAAGACCAGGCTGAGCAGGCGCACAGGGCTGGGCCGCGCCAGGCCCTGCATGCTCAGGCTGGGGCCGTGGCCGTGGGGCTCCACGTAGAGCGCATGGCCCCTCGCGGCCCCCATGAAGGGGCTCTCGTACTCTGAGTCGCTGCCCACGTCCGAGCCGGCGTTGAAGGTCTCCAGGTCGATGAAGGACGGTTTCTCCTTGCGGAAGGTCAGGACCAGCTGCTCCAGGAAGACCGTCATGAAGAAGCCCAGCAGCAGCAGCGTCTCAGCCAGCGGGTAGTCGGTGCTGATGTGCACGGCGCTCAGGACCTTCTGGAGCTGGGGCGGGGACGCGCGGGACAGAGACACTTCACCGTTTGATCGGAAAAGCACAGAAACGCCTGATTCACACTGAGGTTAAAAAAGAGCGGGGGAGGGAGGGAGGGAGGGCTTGCCCATGATGGATTAAAAAACAACCATCCCAAGGAATGGTAAGGAATCCCGAAGTCTCACGTCACAAGGACCGAACGATTTTAAGGTACCGCAGTGGCTTAACTGGGGCCACCAAAAGATATGTCCACGCAGAAGCTCAGGACGAGACCTCATTGGGAACAACTGAACGTGATTAGGGTGCTAGAGACTGCATCGTGTCCTCTCCCTGCTTATATGTCAAAGTCCCTCAACACCCAGTAGCTCTAAATATAATATTTGGAGATAAGATCTTTAAAGAGGCAATTAAGTTAAAATGGGATATTGGGGTGAGGCCCTAATCTAATAGATCTAATAGGACTGGGTTTTTTTGGTTTTTTTTTTGTAGAGACTGGGTCTCCCTCTGTCAACCAGGCCGGACAGCAATGGTGTCATCACAGCTCACTGCAGCTTCCAACTCCTGGGCTCAAGCCATCCTCCCGCCTCAGCCTCCCCAGTAGCTGGGACTACAGGTGTGCACCACCACATCCAGCTAATTTCTAAACTTTTTGTAGAGGCAGAGTCTGGCTATGTTGCCCAGGCTGGTCTCAAACTCCTGCCATGAGCGATCCTCTCGCCTCCGCCTCCCAAAGTGCTGGGATGACAGGTGTGAGACACTGTGCCCGGCCCAGGACTAGTTTTCTCATAAGAAAAAGAAGAGACACCAGGGACAACCGTGTGAAGAGGCGGCAAAGAGAGAGGCTTCAGGAGAACCCGCTCTGCCGGCCCCTTGACCTTAGACTGTGGTATTTCACTACGGCAGCCACAGGAAGCTAACGCAGAAGGTAAGATGTCACCCCAGGTTCCCCGTGACAGGCACCCTTACAAAAGGCAGAAAAGGAGAAGTTGGGACGGCTGGATATAGCCTGAATGACTTGCCCACATGGACTGGGCAGAGATGCCCAAATGACCCTCTCTTAGTCACAGCAGGACCCCACGAAGCTGGCACCTCCTGGCCCCAACCCTGCCGTTAGAACTCCCCCTGGGAAACCGGCTTGGGTAATGCCCTGGACCCAATTAAGGCTTCTTCGGCACACACGTCCCCTGAGCCGCTCACTTGCTCTCCCTCGCTCCCTCCACCCACCAGCTGAGCTCACCCTCCCCCTGGGACCTGTGACTGCTCCTGCTGTCCCCCCTGTGTCTCACCCCACTCTCTCCTGGTCAGGGCTCCCCTAGAGAGGGGCGGTCGTGGTAGGAACAAACTGCACGTGGGTCAGACGAGAGCCGCGAGGGCGTCTGCACCACAGACAAGCTTCCTGAGAGAGAGGAGCCTGGTCGCTTAGGCACCAGACCTTCAGGATAAAGACGTGTCCCAAAGGGGCGCACGCACACACACGCGCGCGCGCACACACACACACACACACACACACACACATAGTGGTTCTCAACTGGGGTGATTCTGTGCTCCCAGGGGACACCCGACGATGTCTAGAAACATTTTTGGTTTTCATGACCGGGCTGGGGACAAGGTACTGACATTTGAGGCCAGACCATTCTCTGGGGTGGGGCCATCCTGGGCCCTGCAAGGCACTGAGCAGCGTCCCTGCCTCCACCTGCTCCGTGGCAGGAGCACCCCTAGTAGTGACAACCTCAAATGTCCCCAGACATGGCCCAGGGTCCTCTGGGGACAGGGTCACCCCTGGGTGAGAGCCCACCTGCAGCAGAGGCCGTTTCTGTAGAGAAGCCATATGATTTGCTCCCTGGGGATCTACTAAAGGCCTCCCACGTGTCTCGCCTGGGGACACGCAGCTCACGAGGAAGTCCAGGTACGCCCAAAGGGACAAACTCATCAGGACAGATGAGACACACACACACAGAGCCGGGAGCCAGGCGCCATTTTCTGCGGGGTGTCTGAGGCTGTGGGGTCCGGAGGAGGGACTACGTCCCTGAGGGCAGGGGTGCGGCAGGGGGATGGTTTGGGGAGTCCTGAGAAGGTTACGTGCGAGGAAGGGGGAAGGGAAGAGCGCAGACTGGGGATGACATGACAGCTGTGTGGGACAAGGGGGGCTGGCTGTGGCACTTGGGGTACAGAATGCATCAGAGACAACTAAGTTATTTCGTTTTTTGTAGAGACGGGGTCTCGCCATGTTGCCCAGGCTGGTCTGGAACTCCCGGGCTCAGCGATCCTCCTGCCTCAGCCTCCCGAGTGGCTGGGATTGTAGGCGTGAGCCACTGTGCCTGGCACAACTGAGATTTTTATCCTCATCGGTGCCAACTGTTAGTTTTCGATGCTGCATAACAAATGAACACAGACTTAGCGGCGCCAAACAACTCAAATGCATCGTTCTGGTTCTGAACGTCAGAAATCCAGGCACAGGTTGGCTGCGTCCCCTGCTCAGGGTCTCACTGGGCTGCAACCTCATCTGAGGCCCTGGGTCCTCTTCCAAGCTCAGTGGTGGTCGGCAGAATCCACTCCCTCGAGGGTGAGGTCCCCATGTCCTTGCTGGCTGTTGATGGGGACAGCTCTCAGCACTGAGAAGCCGCCCTCGGGGCCTTGCCTATGTCTCCCCTCTTGCACAGCGTTGCTTTTTGCTTCTCCGAGGCCAGCAGGAGGGTGACGGGCTTGCCTGATTAGTCCATACCTCCTAGTCACTCTCCCTTTGGATTACTCGATGTCAACTGATCAGGGGCTCTCATCACAGCTGCAAAATCCCTTCTGCTGGACGAAATGGTGGTGGGACTGACACCCCACCATGGTCCCAGCCCCACCCAGAGGAGAGGGCTGGTAAACTCAGGGCTTCCGTACCTCGTGGAGCAGCGGGGAGAACAGGGGGTCCTCACACCTCCACCAAACATGTAGCACAACGCAAACCCAACCAGCACATCTGGCATTGGCCCAGAGAGACGAAGCAGCTCATCTGGGGTCCCCCAGCAGGCACAGCAATGGCCCATCTGGCTGTGGCCCTACAAGGGCTCCTGATGTCATTGAGCTCAAGGACCAGGTCATTTTAGGAGCTGGGGCAGACAGACTCCAAGATGGGCCCCAGTGATTCCTGCAGGGTCCTCACCCCTTGAGTGTGGGAGGGACCTGGAACTTGCTTCCAACTAGCAGAACACTAGGGCAGACGGGAAGGGACACCACTTCCATCACTATGATACACAAGACTGTGACTTCCATTTTGCAGGCTGGCTCTGCTGTCTCCTCTGCTTGCAGATGAAGCAACTGACCACCCGGGTAAGGCCCACAAGGCAAGGCACCAAGCGCTGCCCCTGGCCGACAGCCAGTGAGAAACAGGACCCCATGGTCTGAAAACCAGCAAGGAACTGAATCTGTCTTACAACCACATGAGCTTGGAAGCCGACCCATCCCTAGTCGAACGTTCAGACGAGACCACAGCCCAGGAGACGCCTTGATTGCTGCCTTGCGAGATTCTGAAGCAGTGCCCAGACGCCTGACCCACAGAAACGGTGAGATAATAAATGTCTCTTGTCTTAAGATGCTAAGTTTGTCATAACTCATTATGCAGCAATAGCTGACTAACACGGGAACGGAAGAAGAAAGGCCACACTTTCCAGCTTCTGGACAGAGTGTGTGCTACCTGGGGTGGGTGGTCTAGTTTGAAAATTTATCAGGTGACAACCAACAAGCCCACCAGTTGGGAATCTCAGGCCTAATCCAAACCCCTTGTTTACCAGGTAAGGCACAGAGAGGGAGAGCAACAAATGCACAATCACAGAGCAAATTCATTTTCTATCTCTCATCACCCTCACAGCATCAAGGCCCCCACTGAACTTGGGGCCTGCATTGAAAACGCATCACGGCCCCTTGCCCATGAGGTGGCCGCGGGCTGCTACCACTCCCCAGGGAGCTCGTACCTTCTCTCGCACGGCAGGCAGCAGAGCATTGAAGCAGGTGGCCAGGAAGACCCCGCCTCCAAAGGTGTTGCAGAGAGAGAGGATCTTTTTTGAGCGATGGGCCTTCTCAAAGTCTGTCTCGATGATCTTCACGGGGACCAGAGAGCCCAGCAGCATGAGGAAGAACACGCCCACCATGCAAAGGATCTTGGCCACCAACAACTTCACCATGGTGGCGGCCTGGGCTGCTCCGGTCACCGCAGGGCCCAAACCATGTGCAGGCACACACTCCGCCCCACGCTGTGCTACCGGGCCAGGCCACGTGGCTGGAGGCTCATGCCTCAGTCCAGCAACTGTGAACATGAGGGGCAACCGCGTTAGCTGTCCAATTATCTAACCAGCTCAGGTGACCGAGGCCGTCACACCAAGAACTTCACTCCATTCTCCAGCTTGGTACATGTCACTGCCTCCTACAGAAAATTCTCCAGTGCTGTGGCATCTACCTGTGTGTGTCTGTTTAAATTAACTGAAATTAAATAAAATCTAAAATTCAGCTCCTCAGTCTGTCGCGCCACATTTTAAGTGCTTGGTAGCCACCAGAGCCTACGTTAGGCAACACAGACAGAGAACATCTCCATGGCTACAGAATGTTCTACTGGATGGTGCTGCTCCAGCAGCTTCTCACCGCCCTGACATAAAATGACAATTCTTTACCCTGAGGCTGGAGCTCTGGACAGTGAGAATGTGCCAAGCTTGTTCGTGCCTCAGGGCCTTTGCATGGGTTGTTTTCTGCCTGGAACACTCCACACACCCCTCCCCCCGCAATCTAGTGATATCTCCTTGTCTTTTGGTTCACTGCTTGCAGGACTCCTCAGAAGGGCCCCCTCCGGCTGACCTCCGCTCTAAACCGTGTGCCTTGTACCTGCCACACAAGAACAGAAGCTCAGCAACTACTGGCTGAATAAACGGGCGAGCTGAAGTGTGTGGACACTGACCAGGGCCTCTTTATGTGACTCAATGGGCCAAAGAGGGGTATATTTCACCCTGGACTCCAAAATGTCACCGTTATTAGGAGGAATCTCGGCCCCTTCCCTGTCCTTGGGGTTTCCCCCCAACCCCAGGTCCCTAGCTCTTCCCATAGCCCACTCCCTCTCTTCATTCAGGTCTTCAGATCTCTGCTCTGAGGTCGGCCGTCAGAGAGGCCCCCTGCATCCCCTTCCCTGGCGTTATTTTCTTCTATCCTGTGCTACACGGGGAACTACATCATTTAAAGTCGTTTAATGTCGTCCCTTTCCCTAGGCTGTAAGCTCCACAGGGACAGGGTGGCTGCTCTGCTCAAGCCCGGCAGCACCCAGTGCAGAGCCACAGAGACATACAGTAGGCGCCCAATAAACGCGTCCGCTAGCTGGATGCCCCAGTCTGTAGAGTGGGGTTGAGGAAGACCTGGACGCTCTCAAACTGGAGGCTGATCGGGCCGGGCCACGGAAAAGACAGGCTCATTCATTCATTCAGCACTTATTGAGCGCCTCCTGTGTGCCTCGCACTGTCAGACGCCGGAGCCGGGCCTCGGCTAACGGGCGGGCAGAGTCCACCAGGCTACTGGCCGCCCAGTCGCGCCCCGCCGCTCCGGGCCCCCTCCCACGGCCGCACCTACCTCCGTCGGGCCCCTCGCCCGCCGTCCAGGGCCGCCCGAGGTCCAACCGCCCTGCGGTCCCGACCCCACAGCCTCGGCCTCCAGCAGCACCAGCTCGGCGCGCCGCTGCCCACGCCCCGCCCACACCCCTGCCCATTGGCCACCCCGAGCGCCGCCGCCGAACTCTCCGCGCCATTGGCTACTGTGGCTGCCACTCACCCTGCGACTCCACCTCTCCTACCGGCACGGGAAAGTAGTTTCCTCCCGCGGAGCGGCGGGTGCAGCCACCAGGAGGCTCCGGTAGGAAACGCAGGCCACCGAAGAGAGGTTCCGGTAGGGGTTTGGCTCCCAGAGCTGTCCAGGGGTGCCTGGTGCTGAATCCCGCTGCCAGGGACTCTTGGCGGGGGACGGGAGGCGATTTCCTACACCCGAGAGGGCTCCTCTCCGAGCGTCCTCGCCGCCGATGCCCTTCCTCACGGCTAAGAAGCAGATTCCTTTATTTATGTTATTTATTTTTTATTTGTGAATATCCATGGGGCACAAGTACAACTTTGCTACATTGATATATTGCATTGTGGTGCAGTTGGGGCCTTCAGTGCATCCATCACTAAATGCATATTGTACCCACCAAGCATCTCCCATCGCCCACCCCTCCCGCCCATCCCCCTCCGAGTCTCCACTGTGTGTTGTTCCACACTCTGCTCCCACGCGTGCACATGACGAGCTCCCACTTGTGAGAACATGTAGTTTCACTTAAGATAATGGCCTCCAGTTCCACCCATGTGGCTGCACAATACATAATTTTGTTCTTTTTTATGGCTGAATAGTATTCCATCGTGAATATATACACCACGTTTTCTTTATCCAATCTTCCATTGACGGACACTTAGGTTGATCCCATATCTTCGTTATTGTGAATAGTGCTGCAATTAACATACAAGTACAGGTATGTTTTTAGTATATTGATTTCTTTTCCTTTGGGTAGATATCCGGTAGGAGGATTGCTGGGTCATAGGGTAATTCTATTTTTAATTCTTTGAGAAATCTCCATTCTGTTAAGAAGGAGATTTAGACAGGTGCAGTGGCCCACGCCTGTAATCCTAGCATTCTGGGAGGCAAGGCAGGAGGATCATTTGAACTCAGGAGTTTGAGATGAGCCTGAGCAAAAGCGAGACCCCATTCTACTAAAAATAGAAAAATTAGCTGGCGTGGTGGCACCTGTAGTTCCAGCTACTTGGGAGGCTGAGGCAGGAGGGTCACTTGAGCCCAGAGTTTGAGGTTGCAGTGAGCTATGATGACAGCACTGCACTCTAGCCAGGGCTACAGAGCGAGACTCCATCTCAAAAAAAAAAAAAAAGAGTGCTAGCTGGTGAGTTCCTATTTTAAATAAGATGCTCAGATAATGGGGGGAGGGCAAGGGCAACATACGTAACCTAAACATCTGTACCCCCATAATATGCTGAAATTTAAAAAAAAAGATGCTCAGATAGATCTCACTGAGAGATATTTGAGAAAAGACTTGAACATGGAGAAGTTAGTCAAGTGGTACATGAAGACAAAGCATTCCACACAGAGGGAACTGCAAGTGCAAAGGCCCTGAGGCCAGGAGTGTACAAGGCCACCGTGGCCAAAACAAAGTGAAGTGGGGAAGCATAGTTGGAGATCAGGAGATAGAGCATGAAGGGCCTTAGAAGGCATTGAGAGCCCTTTGAGGGAAATAGAAAGCCATTGCAGAATTTTGATCAGAGATGTGATAAATCCAACATATTTTAATGGAATCATTTTGGTGGTTGTGTTAATGCTGCTGATAGGTCAAGTAAAATCAAGGCTGATAATTAACAATTAATCTTTTTGAGATCAATTAAAAAAACTGATTGCTCCACAGCCCCATCAAAGCAACCAGACTTATGGAGGAGAAGACTGGACTCCTTTGTTAGCCAAAATCTTCTCGCTGGCCTACCATGAGCTCGGCATGAGAAGGGACTCGGCAGGGAGACAAGCCAGTCACAGGACAAATCCTGTGTGGTTCCACTCACAGGAGGTCCCTAGAGTCATCCGATCCACAGAGACAGGAAGTAGGATGGTGGGTGCCTGGGGCTGGGGAGGGGGAGGGGAGGGAGTGTTTCTTGGGGACAGAGTGTCAGTTTGGGAAGACGAGAATGTTCCGGAGATGGAGGGTGGTGATGGTTGCACGGCAATGTGAATGTGCTTAATGCCACTGAGCTGTGCTCTAAAAATGATTAAGATGGTAGATTTTATGCTATGTCCATGTCACCACAATTTTTAAAAATAAATTTTAAAAATTTAAAATAAAATGAAAGAAAAAGCAAAGCCCCTGCCCTCACAGGTTATGGTGCAGTGAGGGTGACAAGTGTGAATTAAGTAATAACATACTGTGGCAGGCAGACTTCTAAGATGTCCCAAATGATCCCTACCTCCTGGTATTCCTGCCCTTGTGTAATTCATCCCCTTTGGGTGTAGACTGGACCTAATGAAGAAGAAGACCCCGCTAAACTGCACCTGGATTCCTGCCCCACAGAAACTGAGATAATCCATACCGTTTCAAGCCACTAAGTTTTGGGGTCATTTGTCACTCAGCAATAGGCAACTAAGGCACACACGTAACAGGAAAACTATAGGTTGGACTTAAGCGCCGTGAAGAAAAAAAGAGAGAGTTCTTCGTGGGAATTAACGAAGTCAAGTGTGCTGAGAAGTGGGGGCAACAGAGAGGACAGTTGGTGAAAAGGTGGAAAAGGGTTTGCCGTGTTTGGGGAACTGGGACACCAGGCTGGCCGAATGTTTGGGGAGAGAAGAGATGAGGGCGGGGCTCATAGACTATGTTGCAGAATTTGGAATTTACCGTAAGTGCAGTGTGATTCACTGAAGGGTTTTAAGCAGGTGAGAGTTGTAATCTAACTTATGTTTTAAGATTATTTTGAGTCCTGTGTAAAGAAAGGCTGAATTATAGGGAAGCAAGAATAGAAGCAGAAAGGCTAGTTAAAAGCCACTTGGGCAAGAATCAATGGCAGTTTCCATGAGGGAGTTGGCAGGGGAGGTGATGGAGAGTGGGTGAATTCGAGAAATATTTTGGAGGGTGAACAATCGACAGGACTCGGCACTGGTTTGTCTGCGAGGGCTGCAGCGGGGGGAGGTGTCAGGGATGACTTCTAGCCTTCTGGTTTGAGCAGTCTGATGGATTCTGGTGTTGTTCCCTAAAATAGGAAAGGCTGGAGGAGGCACAGAGATTGAAGGTGTCAAAAGACTGAGTTGAGTTTTGCAGAGGTCATACAGGAGATGTCTATGAGTTCTTAGCATTTAATGCCATGTTCCGCCCGCACGGCACTTGCTTCATCATGGGGAACACGCAGTATGTGGGTAGCTATTTTTATTATGAGACACCGAGTGATTTGATTCTGTTTCTGTTTTCCACAATTCACAATAAGAAAGATGCCTCGTAATACCAGCACACCAGGGATGATTCCTTGCTATGGAAGAATTCATAGCGTGCAATATTTATTCATAACTATTTGGAGAATGAGGCTGCTCAGAGAAGGAGCTGCATATGCTGTGGCCTTTTATTCATTCGAGACATGTTTCTGAAAACCTCCTAGGCACCAGGACCTATGTATGAACAGGTATGTTCAGAGTGAGATAGAAAAAAAAAAAATACTGACACATTTGACTGCATCAGACGGTTCCAAAATCTTCCATAGTAAAAGACACTGTGAATGGGTTTAAAACTCAAGTGACAGGCTGGGAGGAAATGTTGATAATCTATGAGACAGAGCACTTGAGAGAGAACAAGCGTCTTGAAATAAAAATGAGAAGAGAGATGAATGGATGATTCGCAGGAGAACAAATATAAGAGATGAATAAATATAAGAAAAGATGTTCAATCCATGAAGATAATCACAGAAATACAAAATAAAACAGTATGAAATAGGCCAGGTATGGCGGCCCACACCTGTAATCCCAGCACTTTGGGAGGCCATGGCAGGAGGATCGCTTGAGCCCAGGAGTTGGGCTCAGGCTGGTCAGCTGCGTGCGCACTTGCGGCCTCATGGGAGCAGGACCTCCCTGCTCGGGGGGATGTTTCCTGCGTGTCATTCTGAAAGGAGAGCCAGTTCTGAGGTCTGCACCGGGGCTCCAGCCTGGGTTGTTTTGGGACCAGCCGCCGTACCCTTCACCCCTGCCTGGATGCTCCAGCCTGCCCGTGCAGGCCGCAGCGCGCCTCCTGGTGGCCCCGAGCGGCATCGCCCCAACTCCTCATCTATGCTGGCCACCTCCCGCGTGCTTGCCCTCTGCTCAGATTTTGAAATAACAGTCTGAAACGACAGATTTTGCTAGATGGGGAAGTGGACTTAGTTTTGGGTTCTCAAGTTACCCAGTTGGGCGTGAAATACTTTCCTTCAAAGAGAAAGGGACACTCGAGAGCCAGTGAACAGATTTTTTGGTGGCAAATTGGTTTGGGACATTCATTTAGGGGACATGTGTATTGGGGGGCAACTATGGGCCAGTAATACTGCACGGCCAGGCCTCTCCCCTGGGCGCTGCGGACACTGGGCTGGGTCGTCCTCTGGGGTGGGGCGTCCTGGGCACTGCAGGTGCTGAGCATCGTCCCTGCCTCCCCCCACCCCATGCCAGGAGCTCCCCCTCTTCCCAGCTGTGACAATCAAAAATGTCCCCAGACATTGCCAAGTGTCCCTGGGGAAGAAAACTGCCGCCAGTTGAGAACCTCTGCTTCTGTGAAAGACACAATGTCTCCTCCTGGCGCTTCACGGGACTTAGTGTGGTGGGATCTGCAACCCCCGTGGGGTTGGGCTGCCCGGGAATTGCCCATTCAGAGTGCAGAGGGGCAGCAGAGCCTCCCAACCCCTGGTTTCAGATGGTGGCAGCTGCCTTCTGTCTCAAGGCTCAACCTACTCCTGGAAGCCCCAGTCACGACTTAAACTCGATCCACGTCCAGTTGCTGTCTCTTTGCTCGGGGCGCCTCTGACGGGAATATGCAGAAAGATCCTATTTCTGACGCGTGTGGGATCGAGCGGTAATTATCTCCGACACGGTTCCCGTCAAGTCACATGGAGGAGCCGCTGGCTTCTGGGATGAGATGTTGACAGCTCCTCCTCCCCGCCCGCTCCTCTCCGCCCCTGTGATTCCAGAACAGAAAGTTCCTGGATGTGTCCTCAGCACTTGGGCTGGGTTTGGGGTGAACTTGGCAAGAGGCTGTGCGGGTTCCCCCGGCGGTGGGGCAATGAACCGAGGGACCTGAGAGGACCTAACAAGGACATGCAGGTTGCTTGTGGGATACGCAACGCACGGTCTAGCGTCCACTGGTGTTTCTCAAAGTGGGGTTCTCCAAGCAGATGCGTCGAAGTCACCTGGGCTGGTTGCTTAAATGCAGAGCCAACAGGGAGCTGGAGTAGGGGAACGCAGACCACACTGGGGCTTCTCACGCTCTGGTGGGCCTTGCAATCACCCAGAGGGCTCCACGAACACACCCGACTGGCTCCACCCCCCCGAGCAGGTCTAGGGTGGGACTGAGACTTTGCCTTTCTACTGAGGTCCTGCATGACAGATGCTCCTGCGCTGGGCAGTTTGAAACTCACGGCCCCACCCTAGGCACTCCGCTCCTCTGCAGCGTGGACGCTGGGGCCGGGTCATTCTGCACTGGGCCGTCCTGGGCACTGCAGGTGCTGAGCAGTGTCCCTGGCCTCCACCCACTCCATGCCAGGAGCTCTCCCCCTGCAGTTGTGACAGCCACAAGTGTCCCTAGACACTGCTGAGTGTGCCCTTACCGCCCAGGTGAGACCCACTGTCTTAACCTGAAGAACCCTGCCCACCTTCCAGCCGTGGCCCAGGCCTCACTTCCGGCCTTCCCTGTGGGACCCAGTGCCCCCTGGGGTAGCTGTTCTCTCATCATCGTTATTTGTGATTTCTGGGAGCTGACAGTGGATAATGGCTGAACCTGAACTTCACCCCTGCAAATCTCGGTTCTTCCTCTGACTGGAGGGGTGAAGGCTGGGCACCTACGGGAGGGCTGACACAGGGGGTCTCGTGCTCCAGGCACTGAGGTGACTAACTCGCAACAGCCTGGGTGGTCTGCAAATTCTGCTAGGGTGTTCCTGGGAGTTTGGGATTGACGGGGTGTCGGTGGTGCCCAGAGGTCAACACAGAGATGGACAGAGATCGCGACGTCTATTTATTCCCACACGTCACGCTCTGCACCGCAGTTAGCACGGGAGTCAGCACACGTCTGGCTGCCGTGGCCGGCGGTGGCCCTTCTTCCTACTGGTAACCTACGACACACAGCACTGCGTCTACCTCGCGGATGGCCCGAGCCTGCCAGGGAGCTCAGGACGCGCCCGCTGACAACACTGCTGCCGGGACGGCTCACCTCCCGCCCCAGCCCTCGGGAGCCAAGGCCACGCTTCCCGGCTCCGGTGGCTGTTCAGGCCCATGAGGACCCCGGGCCTGTGCCACACCAGGGCAGGACAGCAGAATGGGACACACAAAGGTGGACCTCTGCCCGAGACAACAGGCCATGATCACGCCACTGGCTGTCAGCCGTGAGGACTGGGGAGGGCGGGAAGAAATGGAACGCATGTCTGTCAACACGCTCAGCTGGAAGAGAAGTCACAGACACTGGTCCTGGGCACTGAGGCGCGGGTGACAGCAGTCGTCTCTCAGGCGTCTGCGGCTAAAGAGTTCCTCATGCAAAGACACGCGGCCCACAGGGCACAGGTGGACGCTGGCGCCCACGCCTCGGCTGGCGGTGAGCTCTCCTGGGCGGGCAGGCAGGCGGCCAGGGTGACCAGGTGAGCAGAGAGGTCGACTTAGAAGGTGGCTTCTCACGGGACAGGAAAGTTCTTGAAGACAGACCCAAGGATGGGGAGGGGGGACTATAAAAAGAGCTCCCACAGCCACGGGAATGCGCTACGTAGCTCAACCTCAAACCTGCCACTTCTCCAAGGGCAGCCCGAGATGCACCCCCAGAGTTCTAGAAAATACTTTAGTGATGGGGCTTCCTGGGGGTGGAGGGGAGATGGTTGCTGGTCTGCGTTTGGCTTGCTGGCTCTTGTTTCGAGAGGGGTCTGGGGGCTGTGAGGGAGTACAAAAGGGAGGAGCAAAGGAAAAACAGGGAAAAAAATCCATCTTAACATGCACATCCGATTTCTTCTTCTCTCTCGAGCGGCCCAGCAGGAGGAAGTGGTAAAACATGAGAATGCTTCCGGTCGGCTGGGAGGACACGGTCGGGGCAGCTGGAGGAGAGACACGCAGGGTCAGGGCCCAGGCGGGAGGGAGCCCAGGCTGCAGGGAGGAGCATCCAGGGAGGAGCGATTCCAGGGCAGACGGGCCATGTTCACACCGTGGCCACGTGTGGCTGGGGGCTTTGTATTAGCGGAGAGAACATGGCCACTATCTAGAAGGTTCTACTAGTACAGACATGAAAATGTTGGTGAAGCTACTTTGGAGATAAGGTTACAAAAGTATAAAATTGATCTAGCATATGTTTTTTAAAAAAGCAAAAATGTAAAAGCTTATTAAAAAGGAAAAGGGCCAGGTGTGGTGGTTCACACCTGTAATCCCAGCACTTTAGGAGGCCAAGGAGGGAGGATCACTTGAGCCCAGGAGTTCAAGACCAGCCTGGACAACACAGCGAGACCCCTTCTCTAAACAAACAAAAAAAGCCAGGCATGGTGGTGCCCGTAGTCCCAGCTACTTGGGAGGCTGAGGCAGGAGGATCACTTGAGCCCAGGAGTTGGAGGCTGCAGTGAGCTGTGAGGACACCACTGCACTCCAGCCTGGGCAACAGAGTGAGACTCCATCTCAAAAAAAAAGAGAGATAGAGAAGAAGGAATGGTGCCCAAAATATTAATACTGGCTGCTGCTCTAGGCAGAAAGATAAAAGGTTACTCTTAATGTTTTTTTTTTTTTTTTTTTTTTGAGACAGAGTCTCACTGTGTTGCCCGGGCTAGAGTGCCGTGGCATCATCCTAGCTCACAGCAACCTCAAACTCCTGGGCTCAAACGATCCTCCTGCCTCAGCCTCCCGAGTAGCTGCGATTACAGGCATGCGCCACCATGCCTGGATAATTTTTTCTATATATTTTTAGTTGTCCAATTAATTTCTTTCTAATTTTAGTAGAGACGGGGTCTCGCTCTTGTTCAGGCTGGTTTCGAACTCCTGAGCTCAAACAATCCGCCCGCCTTGGCCTCCCAGAGAGCTAGGATTACAGGCGTGAGCCACCGCGCCCGGCTTCTTAATGCTTTTTAATGTTCTGTCCTTCAAAATTTTCTAGAGCGAGCATGGTTAAAAAATTTAAAAAGTGTGAGTATGTGTGTGAGAGGAGATGATGGCAAAATAAAGAGGTCCTGTCAAAGCAGAATAAAACATGTCCTGGGGAAGACAGGGGGCCACTTGCCACCCACCCCAGGGAGTCGGCGTTGGCTGGAGACAAGACGGAGTCCAGGAGCCCCTGGGGACGGAGAATGGCCACGGGGCCCTGAACCCACCTGGGACGTCTGGGTATGTTTTTGAGCAATTGTAAATATAACACCTGCTCACGGTGAGAAACAGCAACAAAAGAACACCAGGAAGTGCAGGCAGACCACTGGGGCGTGGATGCAAAGGCAGGTGCCCGGCCCTGGCTTCCCCACTCCCTGGGCGACCTCGTTGCCACCTCTACAATGGCTGTCCTGACACTTGTGCACACGGGGGCCACTCGTGGGGGTCAGCCCCAACCCCTCCACGGCTCTGATCCACGGGAGAGTCCTGAGATCTGAGACCTCCCCCAGGCCTCCATGACTCAGGGTGGCCCTCCTGAGCATGGCTCCTGTGCCCCCTGCTGCCCCGCTGGGACTCACATGGCAGGTCATTCCTGCTGGTCGTCGTTGCTGGCACTGGGGGTCCGACTTCGGATCTGACTCCTGAGCTGCTCTATCAACTCTGGGTTCTGCTGCTGCATCTGCTGAGCGAACTGCTGGCCACTGTGGGGAGGTGTCAGAGCTCAGCCGGGCCCAGGAGGAGGGGATGCACCTCCCCGCCTGCCCCCACGGACCCCTCAGGCAGTTCTGGCCGCCTGGAGGACACCAGGTCCTTCTGTGTCCCCGCTTCCCTCTTGTCCATGTGCCTGCCCTGCCGCCCACCCACGCCCTCCCCAAGGGGGCCACTCACGCCTGGATGAGGCTGGCCAGGTCATTCTGCGAAGGGCTAGTGCCTGGCGTTCCCAAGGGGTTGTGGCCGCCTGAAATCATCCCGGACATGCTGCAAAGAGAGAGCCCGTGACGCACAGACAGGACAGCAGCTGCCCAGCCCCACTGCGGCCCCTCATCGACGGCCCAGGAGAGAATTCCTCCTCACCCCCTTCCCCTTCTCTTGCCACCTGTTGGACCCCACAGGTCCCAAACCCACCCTCCTCAGGCCCTGTGAATTTCATCGGCTTTTCCAGGAACATCCTTTTTTGGCAAAGATGGCAGTTCCTAGCCTGGGTGATCCTGTCCCCAGAGGACACTTGGCAATGTCAGCATTTAACTGTCATGACCAGGGCAGGGGCAGCTCCTGGCATCTGTGCAGTGGAGGCAGGGACGCTGCTGAGCACCTACAGGGGCCAAGACGGCCCCATCCCAGAGGATGCTCTGGCAGCGCTGTGGCCGGGCCACTGTGCTTTGTGATCTGACCGTGGAACAGGCTGGCGGTTCCCCAGGAAGTTAAACAGCCACCCTGTGAGCCAGCAATTCATTCCTGGGACACACCCCAGGTAACTAAAAACAGGGACTCAAAGAACAACTTGTGGCCCAATGTCCCCAGCAGCGTTGTTCGTAAGAGTCAAAGGTGAAAGCAAGGTTAAGTGTCCACGGATGGGTGATGGATAAACCCAACATGGTTTCTCCACATGCTGGAATGTCACTCGGCCACGGAAAGGGACAGGGCTCTGACACAGGCCACAGCATGGAGGGACCTTGAGGACATCGTGCTCAGTGAGAGATGCCAGACACAGAAGGACACACAGTGTGAGACTCCGTTTACATGAAATGTCCAGAACAGGCAGATCCACAGAGACGGGATGTGGATTCGTGGGTGCCAGGGGCTGGGGGTGACTGCTGATGGGGACGGGGCTTCCTTTCGGAAGTGATGAAAATGTTTTGGTACTAAAAGTACTGGTGACGGTTGCGCGACACTGTGAATGTACTTAACGCCTAAGCTGTACATTTTCAAATGTTGAAATGTCGAGTTTTACGTTACATGTACCTTGCCATAGTAAAAAGACATTTAGTCACAAGCAGATACAAAGGAGAATGGTTGTCACTTACAGCTGTTGAACTTGGGGATTGTTCATTAGGTTTGATGCCTGAAGAAAAGAACAGCTTTGTCAGAAAAAGTGAGCTTCCGCGCACATTATTTTCTTTAATTAAAAATCTTTTCTGGGAGGCCGAGACGGGTGGATCGCTCAAGGTTAGGAGTTCGAGACCAGCCTGAGCAAGAGCAAGACCCCGTCTCTACTAAAAAATAGAAAGAAATTAGCTGGACAACTAAAAATATACATATAGAAAAAATTAGCCAGGCATGGTGGCGCATGCCTGTTGTTCCAGCTACTTGGGAGGCTGAGGCAGGAGGATTGCTTGAGCCCAGGAGTTTGAGGTTGCTGTGAGCTAGGCTGACGCCACGGCACTCACTCTAGGGCAACAGAGTGAGACTCTGTCTCAAAAAAAAAAAAAAAAAAAATCTTTATCTTCCAGGCTGTGCCAGGGGTGGACCGCCTCGGTGAGGCATGCATTTCCTCCAGCACTCCCCCAGCTTGTGGCGCTGGCTGACTCCAGGGCTATAACAAAAACTAAAAAAAAATCTTTAACTGAATCGAGCTTGGTTCTACGACCCAAGCACACGCAACACCAGCAGGAGCAAGGCATGTGATCTTTCCCAGCCTTTTCCCACATTCTGCCTCTCCTTCCTCACGAGCTGCGACCTCACATTTACCACTGGTGTCCTGTGTGGACATGTGTTTTGAGCAAGATCCCACAGCGCCACGTCTCGCTTCCGCTGGCAGCTTGGGGTTGGCTGTGTGGACACCTTTCAGTTCCCGACACTGCTGGGGCCTGGCTGGTTTCCAGCTTTGTTCTATCAAGTGCGAGTGCTGTCCTGGGCACCTCCTTGCACTAACCTGCCCATGAGGATTACCCCTTGAGACCTACTTAAAGTGGACAAGTAGAAACTTAGCAGGGGTCTTCCAGCTACCCAGTTATCTCATCTGCACCTCAGGAAGGGGACGTGGCTGTGCCGTCACCACCGGCCCCCTACTGCGATGGGGAAGCAGGCTGGTTGGGGGTGGGGTGCAGTTTTTCATTTTCCCGGTTATTCGGCTGGGAGAGGCAGGATGCCGTTTATCCGCTGTGCTCACTACTGGTGGGCCTTGCTTGGGGAGGTCCTGGGGACATGTGACATCAACATCTAGCACATTTTTGATCATCACAACTGAGGTGGGGGAGCCCCTGGCACAGAGTGGCTGGAGGCCGGGGGTGCGGCTCAGCACCCTAAAGCGCCAAGGACGCCCCCAAGGAGCGAGAATCATCTGGTACCAAAGGCCGACAGTTGGAAGCCCTGGCCCAGGCAGGGCCGCGACTCGGCAGATGAGCACCTGCGTCGTGTGGGGACGCAGAGGGGTGGGAAGGGGGGCCCTGTGGAAGGTCGGGGGCTGTTACCAACCATGCTCATGAAGCTCGGGTTGTTCAGCAGGCCGGCGATGTCGAAGCTGCCGACGCCTCCCGTCTGCGGGTGAGAGCGGCACTGGTTAGTGATGCCTGGACACAGACCGTGACGGGCAGGCCCCCGGGAACTGAGAAACATCGTCCCCCACAGGGCTCGATCGTCTATCCACCTGAGCCAGTCAGTCCCCGCAGCCAGAGAGGGCTGTGAACTACAAGGCACGAACCATAGGGCTGATCGCTTTGGGAAAAGCGTGATATGTTATCCACAGCTTTTTTTTCTGTGTTCTGATACTTTGACATCTTGGGGCCTTGCAGACCTGGGAGAGCCGGCCCCTCCCAGGGGTGGCCGACTCCTAGATAGCAAAGGGCCAGCCAGAAGCGCAGCCTTCAGACGCAAACCAGCCAGCCAGGCGTCCACACCCCACGCCTCCTTCACCGAGCGTCCACGCTGGGGGCTGAGATCCGTCCTCCCTAATCACCAGGACCAGGTACCAGATGCCCACGGGTGGCCCTTACACCCAGGGCCCGCTGACGTGATTCACATGAGCCAACTCGAGTCTGCTCGAGCTGCCTTGTCTGCAAAGCCACAGTGAAGGCTCCTGCCCGCCTCCTGCTTCTAGGGACCTACTGGCATGAATGTCTTCCCTATGACAGTCACTCCCGCTCTGTGTGTCTCACCACATCTGACTGAAACACACCCAGGGGCCCTTACAACACACAGGCCAAGCCTTGAGCCGGTGAGCACACTCAGCCTGCCCCCGCCTCCCTGCCGGACTCACGGGACTCGGGGCCTCTCTCAGCTTCAGCTCCGCGATCTTGAGATTCGACTTGTACGTCTCATTGTCGGGGTCCAGCTCCAACGCCTTCTTGTAGTAGGCCACAGCCTCCGCGTGCTTGTTCAGACTGGACAGCGCCAGGCTGCGGGACAGAGATGGCCCCGGGAGGCGGCCTGTCCCTGTCACCCCAACTCCACTGGGCCCCTCTCCAAAGCCTAGTCCCCGTGGGCTCCAGCAACCCCCAAACTGCCAAGGATGGCGTCACCCCCTGCCTGCTCACGGCGCCCCACACTGAAGCACTTCCCAAGCCCAAAGGTGGGGCCGAGCGGAGGGAGGGGTACGTGTGGGGTAGTGAGAAACGTGCGTTTGGTCTCCACCCTGGCTCCCCGCACAGGGCTCCTAGAGCCCCTGGAACTTCCTGAACGACAGGAGCATCTCTTGTCTCGCAGCAGCAGCCCGGCAAACCCTCGCCTGGGTTGTAGAAGGAGGTGACAGGTGGGGCAGAGCCCCAGATGGAGCTGCTCCCCAGAGTGGACTCCCAGCCCAGCCTCCCGACCCACGGAGAGATCCGGAGAAATCCCGCAGGGGCCACGCTCACTCTGGAGTTCGTGTCGGGACTGGACTGGGGTCGGAGAATTGGTCGTGGAAGTGGAAAAACCACACAAAGCGGGGGTGGCCCGGACTGGGAAGACGGGCTGGACAGGCGCCGGCAGCACTCACCCCATCCTGCCGTAGGCCTTGCTGTAGGCCGGGTCTATGCAGATGGCCCTCTCGCAGTCCTGCACCGCCCCCGCGTAGTTCCCCAGCTTGCTGTAGGCCGCGGCTCTGGGGAGACAAGAACAGGGCGGCCCCTCACCAGCGGCTCTGTGCCACGTGGGCAGTGGGAGGAAGTCAGCCGCGTTCCTCATGCGCTGAGAGGCACCACCTGGGGTGCGAGCCTCAGTTTCCCCATGGAGATGGGGCTGATATGGGGTTGCTGAGAGGTGATGGGCTCAAAACACCACAGGCTGCTCAGAACGGCGACTCTGAGCTTTATCTGTTTGTTAAGGTGTTTAGGTTTATGGTCGGACGAGGGCAGTGAGCAGGAGCCTGGTTTACGCTGCAAATAGCAAAATGTTACGAAAAACGGACCCAGCTCTACCGAGGGGCCGACATCAAGGCTCCCGGCTTACGACGCGTGAGCCACTTTCCCGAGTTTTTGGATTTCACTTAAGGTTCCTCCTCGTTTCCCAGGCACAGAGAGGCGTTAAGGAGAAACCACCCGGTGACCAGCGGCCGCACGGAGGGCAGGGCAGGCGGGAGAGCGCTGCATGATTCCTGCAACTCTCCCGAGCTTGGGGTAGACACAGACCACAAGGTAAGAGAGAAGCAAAACCCCAACACAGCTACACCCATGGCGGGGCGGGTCACACTGTGGCCGGCCAGGAGGGCGGGCGATTCTCTGCTTCCCACTCCTCCCGCTGGTGGCGGCCAGCCCGCGAGCACAGCTCCACGCTGGAGGCTCCGCGGGTTACTCAGCCTTTCCGCTGCAAGCGGAGGCCAGACGCGGCTCTCTGCTATGATTAGTCACGCCGCCGTGAACAGATGCACAGATGTGCTCACATTCTGGGTCATGTTTTTGGCGTGAAGTCCTGTGTGGAGCACTGAGCCACCTGGTTTCAGCGTCACTACCCACTCTCCCCGACCCCCTCGCTGCCCCTGACACCTGCCCACGTGCGGAACTGCCCCTGACGACCCCTCACTGGCAGAGGCCTTCTCAGTCTCAGGCCCTTGCAGAGCATCTCGGAGGATGAGGACGTGCCCCCCCAGCCGCCCCGCCCGGGCAGGCTCGAGCTGGTACCTGTTGCAGAAGTAGACGGCATTAGCCGGGTTCAGCTCGATGGCTCTGCCGTAGAGATGCACGGCGGCCTCAAAGTTCTCCACTTTCATCTGCTCATTCCCTGAAGAGAAAGAAAAGAACATTCAGCCAGGTCGTCCGCGCCTGACGACATCTCTCTTGGCTCTTCTGGGCGTGTACTCAAGGGGATTACCTCTCAGTCTTGGCTACGGAGGCATCTGGACCTGCTGGGGTCCAGCCACCAGCTCTGGTCTCTGCACCCGCTAAGGTGTGGGGGTGGGTGGCAGGGCCCAGCCTGTGCCAGCAATGGCAGCCATCACTGCGTGGGTGGTAACCTCAGCTCAGGGACCAACACTGTCCTTTTTCTTTTCCTTCAGAAACAGCCCAGGCAGGGGCCCGTGTGCCAGAACACTCAGCAATGGGATTTTTCTCTAAGGCACAGATCCCGGCTGGTGGGAGGGGGAAGGCTGGCCCAGACCCAGCTCTGAGGACCCAAACTCAAGCTTCCCACTCCTACCCCATGACCCCAGTTCAGGAGCAGGGGTCGGGGAGATGGGCCTCTGCCTGTACTTTTAAAAACAATTTTACTGATACAATTTACATACCATAAAGCTCACCCTAAAGTACAATTCAGTGGTTTTTAGTATATTCACTATGTTGTACCACCATCATTCCTATCGAATTCTAGAACATTCCATCACCCCAAAAGGAAGCCCTGTCCCCATCAGCAGTCACTCCCCCTCCCCTCGAAACCACAAATCCACATCTTATCTCTGTGGATCTGCCTGTTCTGGACATTTCATATAAATGGAGTCACACATTGTGTGTCCTTCTGTGTCTGGCATCTCTCACTGAGCACGATGTCCCTCGAGGTCCATCCACGCTGTGGCCTGTGTCAGAGCCTCGTCCCTCTTCCTGGCTCAGTGATACTCCAGCGCGTGGAGGGAACACCTTGGGTTACCCAGCACCCATCCACGGACACTTACGCTGTTTTCACCTTTGACTCTCATGAACAACGCTGCTGTGAACGTTCACAGTTAAGCTGTCGTGGGAAATCATTCCCAGGTCTCTTGGGCGCGGATCTGTGAGTGGGATTGCTGGGCCCCATGGACATTCTGTTCAACCCCTTGAGGAACCACCAGCTGGAGGGCGGAACCTCTCTATGTCGTGCGTCTGTGTTCTCACAATCACCTCCCCAGCCCCAGCCCCGGGGGCAGCAAGGCTGGTCTGGACCAGGTGGCTGCCCCCTCTCCTACGGCCCCCACATCCAGGAAGTTACTCCTATAGGGACAGGGAGCCCCTCCCTCACCTTCAGTCTTGAGGCGCTCTGCCTCCGCCGAGTCCTCCTCGGAAGGCGGGGTCCGCTCGGGGCTCCTCAGGTCCTGCGGCACCTCCTGGCCCCAGGGCAAAGATGACCTCTGTCCTTTCTCCCCAGCCCAGTACCCTCTGCCTTCTAGGGCCACCACAGAGGGCAGCCAGGCTTCGAGGGACCTGCAGGCTCTGCAGGGCACTCCTGGCCCCCAAGCCTCAGGCCCCACCTCCAGGAAGAGGACAGCCAATCGATCCTTGTGGCCCGCGGTTCCCAGCCCCCAAGATGATGCAGGTGGAGCACCCAGGCCCTGCAGACGCCACCCACTTTTGCTGCTCTTAACTGGGGGGCAGTGTCCGGGGGAAGCCTAGAGGCTCACCTTGCTGGCCGCGGCTGCTTCGAATATCTCCGGCAGGGTCTGAGGGAGTGCAAGGTCACTGTCTTCCACTGTCACCCCAAAAGCGGTCTCCAGGCACTGGATTGCAACTGGAAGGGGGGAAAAGTCACCCACACGTGTCAAATGCAACCCTGAGCTTACCTTTCAGGGCCCAAAGGGTAGGGCTCATGGGCACTCTTCTACAGCTGTGCTTGTTCTCAAAGACCCTGGGACACACTGGGCACGTCTGTGCCCCTTGGGGCCCCGGCTTCGGATTCTCCTCCTTCCTGAGCCTTGAGCCTCAGAAACTGGAGACAGATGGACACGCCCCGCACACCCTGCCACAGCAGGGGAGGCCACGGGCAGAGTGGGGCCCAGGTGGTGACCTTGGGCCTCTGTGGGGTCACAATGCTGGGGCCGCCTGGCTAAGGGGTGGTGGGGGCTCAGGTTGTCCGTGTGTGTTGGGGGGAAGGTCCCTGGGATGCCGTCAGACCTCCAAGGGAACCCGGCTGGAGGGAGAGCTTGAAGCCAGCCCCAAGGCAAGTCCTGCATGACTGGGTTTGTCCCAAGGGCATCAGTCCCAAGCCCCACACTGGTTTTCTATGCTACGGAGGGCTGGCAGGACCCAGACAAGAGCCCACCGGCTTCTTGAGGGCACCTCCAGAGCCTCCTCTCACTGAGACCAGGGATGGGGGGACTGAGGGAGGATGGCGGGCGCCCACCTACCCTCCAAGCTCTCCTGGGCGTCAGACGAGAGTCCCCCGTGCCGCAGCTGGTCGTGGAGGAACCGGATGATGGCGTAGGCCAGGCGCTTCTTGTTGTCCATCCTGAGCCGGGAGGAGCAACGCTGGGGGGTCCTCAGGATCTGCGGGGCCAAGTTGGGAGCCTGAGTGCTGGGGGCACAGGCGAGTCCCCCGCCCCACTGTGCCCCTTCACGCTCACCAGACACCCCAGGTCTGTCCCCTAACTCGTCCTGCAAGAGCCACTCTGCTGGCGTTGGTTCATCTCACTTGAGGTGGGAATGCTAACTGTGCCCCTTCGCAGATGGGGACCCCGAAGCTCTGGAGTTCACTGATCTGCCCGCGCACATGGCCAGAAGCGATCGCAGTCAGCAGGCAGGTGGGGGCTGCCCGGCTCTGCCCGCTGCACTCCCAGGCCTCCTGGAGCATCAAGGCCTCATGGGAGCCCAGCCCTGCGACGCCTTCATTTCAGACCTCTGGCCCCAGAGCCAGGAGAGAACCAATCTCTGTGGCTTTAACCCACCAGACTGTGGTCATCCAGTGGCAGCCCCAGACCTGGCTAAGGCACAGCCCTTGCATTTGAGGGAGGGGCCGGGGACGTTTTGGGTCGTGGATCACAGCAGCGTGACTCGAGAAGCGGAGGCCGAGGAGCCGGGTGACCTGGCCTCTGAGCTCCCAGGACCCTTGGGTGGGTGACTCGGCCTGTCTGAGCCCCGGTCCCCATGTCTGGAAAGTGGGAAACGCCCATTAGGGCCGCTGTCCAGACCACGGCTCTCGGGGCCCCTCGGCATCTGCTGTTAATATCACGATTCCTCAGGGTAAGTTGTGCAGCACAGACATGGGTTGGCTGTTTTTGGCTGTGTGACCTCAGGGAAGCAACTCTGAGTCTCAGTTTCCTCCTCTGTCACCCGGGAAAGTGGTAGCAGGTCCCCAAGGGGTGGGTATGAGAAGGAGGAAGACACAGAGTACACAGCGCTGGGTGTGCAGCCCATGCTGGCAGGCGCTGCGTGGTTTTAGGAAACGTAAGCCCTGGGTGGAGGCTCTTCCTGCACATGCGCTAGAAGAGCCCGAATCGACACTGGCCGTGGCTATGCCAGAACCACTTCTGGACTGAGCGGTTCTCCTGGAGCAGTGGAGGGTTCTCCTGGCTGGAGGTGGCAGCGGAAAGGCTGCACTGGCATCAAGGTGTGGCAGGGCAGCATGCCCAGGGAGGCCCTGGTCCGGGCACAGGCCCCCCCGCCATCTGAAGCCACCACAGTCCCCTTAGCAGGGCCTCCCTCCCACCTGCTCCTCTCAGGCTGGGCCGCCCGCCTTTCCTGGGGGCCCTCCCCACCCAGGGCCCGGGGTGCCTCCCTGAGAGGGGCTGCTTCCTTCCGCCATTGGACTGGCACGCAGGGAGAGACAGGCTCAGCACAGCGGGCCACCTTTTTGGCTGTGGCCTGTGCCCTGCGCGCCCGGACGTAGAGCGAAAGGCAGAGGCAGCCCTAGGTATCTGGAGTGGGGACCTGCTGGGATCAGGCACGGGCTAAGCTCGCTCCCCAGAGGGGTTCTGGGGGGAAGATGCTGAAACGCAGGCTGGGTTGGACGGGGCCTGGCCGAGGGGACCACCAGCCCGGGGCTGAATGAGGGAAAATGCTGGGCTGGAACAAATTTCACATTTGCTTGTGACAGCTGCTTCGTAATAACTTGTTACTCTTCTGTGCTTTGTGCCCGGATCCGATTTCCAAAAAGCGACTGAAATAACAAACACCTAGACGGAGAATCGCTGTCCCAGGACCCAGGAGGGCTGATGTTCTCCTCTTGAGCTGACGCGGCACAGAAACAGCACATGCCGGGGTCTCATCTGCCAGATTGTACCCCGAGCTGAGCGCCAATGACCCTCTGCACACACACAGTCACACAGACAGGAGGCTCCAATCGCTGAATGCTGTTACGGGCTGTGTCCCCCAAATCCATATGCTAAAGTCCTAACTGCTGGGACTTCAAAATGTGACCTTATTTGGAAATGGGGTCTTTGCAGACGGAATTAGTTAAGGTGATGTCATACCAGAGTAGGGTGGGACCATAGGGCAATCACCAGTGTCCTTATAAAAAGGGGAAATTTGGGCCAGATGCAGCAGCTCACGCCTGTAATCCTAGCACTTTGGGAGGCCAAGGCAGGAGGATCCCTTGAAGCCAAGAGTTTGAGACCAGCCTAGGCAACACTGAGACCCTAATCTCTACAAAAAATAGAAAAAAGTAGCTGGGCATGGTGGTATATGCCTGTAGCTACTTGGGAGGCTGAGGAAGGAGGATCGCTTGAGCTCAGGAGTTGGAGGCTGCAGTGAGCTGTGATGGAGGCCACTGCACTCCAGCCTAGGTGACAGAGTGAGACCCTGTCTCAGAAAAAAAGGAGTGGAGTAAGGGGACTTGGACACAGAAAGGAACACAGGAGGATGCCGTGTGGACAAGGGCAGATGTTGGATGGACACCCACAAGCCAAGCAACACCAAAGATCAACAGCCCCTGCCAGGAGCTGGGAGAGCCCTGAGAGGGTCCTCTCCACGGCCTCAGGGGGAACCAGAACCACTGACACCTAATCTTGGACTTCCGTCCTCCAAAACTGCAAGTCCACATGTCTCTGTTGTTTAAGCCACGGGCCGGTGGCACCTTGTTCGAGCAGCCCTGGCCCACAAACAAGCGCGCTGTGAGGCAGGCCTCGCACTAGAGAACCACCTCTACCCTCGAGACACCCCAAAGGGCAGGCTGCTCCTGTTTTTAGACGCGCTGACTCAGGCAGAAGGGCTTGGTAGCCTGCCCAGGGTTGAGCGGCCGTTGAGGACGACCGGGCTGTCACAACACAACACGGAAGAAAGCAACCACTGCTGCGTCCACTGCAAGGGATGGCGCCAAGGGACAGAGGGGGGAGTGACCAGCTGTGCTTCGCCACTGTGCTGGGGACCAGGAGCCGGCAGCCAGAGGGGCAGCTCCTCCTTTCACAAGAAAAGGAAGCTTTGTATCGTTTCTACACGAATGTCCATTTGAATTGTAAGTGCCCAGATGTCTGATGGCCCAAGACACAGGTTAACACACGTGTGCACACGGAGGCCATGTGGATACAGCCACCCATGCACAGGCCTCACTCGGGTGAAACTGGACGCAGAGCCCCGAGGACCGAGAACACAAAGACACCTGTCTGATCTGCTTCCCACAGATCTAGAACATCGACGTTGTGAAATACCTGCACGGCTACCTTCGCAAAGGAGGGGGGCACCTCCGGAGAGTTTTTAACAAACCGATCTTCCCTAAAACGCAGCCTTCATGTTCTAGGAGGGCACACTGCAAGAGCCCCGTGAATACTACTTACCCATGGCCACCTCCTTCTAGACTGTTTAATGCCTACAGCGTTGGTGCTCAGTGGGTGTGATTCTGCCCCCAGGGGACACCTGGTGAAGTCCAGAGACACACTCCAGGCACAGAGTGGGCGGAGGCCAGGGACGCTGCTAAGCACCCTGCAGTGCCCAGGACCCTACCCACCCTGCCAAGAATGACCTGGCCAATGTCCAGGGTGGAGGGGACAGTCTCTGGACAGCGTGAAAAGCCTGTGGGTCCCTCTGCACGGTGACCTACACGGTAGGCACTGCAACCCTTTGAGAGGGGACGCAGGCTTAGACTGTGGATGGCGGTGTTTGCCCAAGGCCACACCGGCAGTGACGGGTGGGGCTGGGGCCCAAACCCAGCAGCTACCCGACCTGCCCCCACACCCCACGAGAAATCGGGGCTGTTTAGCATCTTAGTCCCCCTATAAGGTGCTCCAGAGGGGGTGAGGAGCCCGTGCACCACAGAAAACAAGGAATGGGCCCTCTGACCACATCCCCGTTACCCGACACGCGCCAGAAGCAAGCAGGTCAGTGACCCACCAGGCTTTAAAAGCCAGCCGGCATCAGACTCAGATTACGGAGGCCGCTGGGTGCTTAGAAGTCAAGACACGCAGGGTGTGCTGGAAGTTGCTTCCATTTCAGGGAAAACGACAACCATCGATAATTATTTAAAAAAAAAAAGGGAATGAAAGAAGCCAGACACAAAAGGCCACATGGTATATAATTCCATTTGTACGAAACATCAGGATGGGCAGATGCACAGAAATGGGAAGTGGATTCGTGGTTGCCAGGGGCTGGGGAGGGGATGGGGAGTGACAGTTGATGGGGATGGGGCTTCTTTATGGGGTGATGTAATATTCCAGAATAGGATGGTGGTGACGGTTGCACAAGTGAACGTACTAAGAGCCACTGAATTTTATGCCATGTGAATTATATCTGAATTTTTTAAATGAGAAAGGCCTAAAAGAGCTGTGTTTCCTGCAGCTAGACAGGAAGTTGTGGTCTCCCAGAAAACTCCGTGGGGATGATGAGTTTTCTGCCCCCACCTCTGCACACAGGGGAGAGCCCGCACCTCCGAGTTCTGGGATGGGGACTGGCCAGAGCCCAGCAGACCAACAGCTGGCCCAGAATCTGAGGGTCTCCTGTGTGACACAGCAGGGCCCACTGCACACAGGAAAGTGCAGCCACAACGGTGAAGTCGCCTGTCCCAGCTAACAGGGTTCAGAGAGCAAACCAGTCAGGTCTGCTGACCCCAACATCCAAGGAAAACAGACGCATGCCACCCAAGATATTTTTGATTTACAGAGTTTTTTTTTTAAACTGACATTTGTTTTGACTGATAGAAGCACGATTCGCAACAGCCTAAAGGTGGAAACAACTCAAGCATCCACGGACAGGTGGCTGGACAAATACACCTGGACCATCCATGCCCTGGAGTATCACTCAGCCATGAAAGGGGATGAGGCTCTGACATAGGCCACAGCGTGGATGGACCTTGAGGACATCGTGCTCAGTGAGAGACGCCAGACACAGAAGGACAAATCCTGTGTGATTCCACTCACAGGAGGTCCCTAGAGTCGTCAGATCCACAGAGACAGGAAGTAGAGTGGTGGGTGCCAGGGGCTGGGGAGGGGGTGGGGAGTGAGTGTCTCATGGGGACAGAGCTTCAGTTTGGGAAGGTGAGAAAGTTCTGGAGATGGAGGGTGCTGATGGTTGTGCAACCATGTGAACGTGCTTAATGTTGCTAAACTGCACACTGAAAAATT